GAAGTTCAGGATTAATATTCACTCATTCAACACTTATGAATATTAACATATGTATATAGCATGTTGGGGTAGACAGGAAAAGAAAGAATTCATTGCTTTAAAAAGCCAAAATTATTTGAAACTTAATAAATTTATACTCTAAAAAACTTATCATTTCTCTTAAAGGAATGCAGTTGCCTTCTGTGTTTAAATATTGTTATATTGAAAGCTCTGTGTGTGTGTGTGTGTGTGTGTGTGTGTGTGCACGTGTGTTTTGCTGGAGACTGAACATGCTTGCTACCCAAGCACTCCACCACTAAGCTACACCCTAGCCCTTGTTTTATAGATATAGATATAGATCTATAGATCTATATCTATATATATATTTCGGCGGGTACCAGGGATTGAACTCGGGACCTTGTGCTTGCAAAGCAGGCAGCACAGGCACCAGAACTACTGAGCTAAATCCCCGGCCCATAATGAAATATCTTAAATACAAATTAGGTAATTTTTCCCCACATGAAGTTTTATTATTATTTTATCTATTCAATTTTTAAATAGGATGGTATAAAGCATTTTAGATGCAATTACCTTTGATTTTCCCCAAACAACACAGATGAAAAATAAATTACACATAAAAATCAACAACTGGGGGCTGCACATTATAGCTCAGTAGTAGAGTGCTTACCTAGCACTATGAGGCCCTGGGTTTGCGCTGAAAAAAAATCAACAATTTTTACCCTTCTTACTGCTGTATTTTGCAAAAGTTAAAATACAGATATATTTATTCATAATATAAACTACACATAATTGTAGACTGATTAATTGATGTTTAAGTAATGGATAACCTCCTGAAACAGACCTCTTTTTACCATAACTGTTAACTTTGTAATTGAACCTCTTTCACATAAGGTACTACTTAACACTGTGGCACTACTCTTGAAAACTATCCAAGCACAAATTATGTGCTTATTTTAAAATGCATAAACTAAAAATAAGGAGATTAGTTGAAGATATCTATCATAATCTACTGAAAATTTTTGAACATTTATACAATTAATCAGTTACAGCAAGTCATTGCATTACTTTACCCAATTTTTAAAAATCTAAATATCCAAGTAAATATAGTATTTCTGTGTTTAAGCGAGACAATTATTGCTTCTTTTCCTTTAATCAATTCTGATTTCCCTGAGAAAGTGCAAACTTCTTTTTAAGTATTACCAAACATGGAGAAATTAAAATATTGTAGATAGCGAAAAAGTGTCAAATCTTAAAACTATTAGTCAATTATAGTCCCATTCTCATGTCATCTGTCAACACCTGAATAAAATGTTTTACCAAAGTTTATAATATTATTTTCATGAGTTCTAAAATAGGTTAAAATGCAACTGCTTAAATATCTAAACTCTATTAATCTTCATAATAGCGGTTGATCAGACTGTAAGTCTATTGACACAGTTTCAATAGATATATTTGAAAAGATTACTTTGCAATTTTCTCCTCTTAAAAGGAACAATATTTCCAATTCAGTCCTGTTATGTAAAAGAAATGTATACTTTTAGCACAACAAATCTACAGTTCTCCCATTTATTAACATCAAGGTGGGAAGTTTTTTTGTTGTTTTCAGTTTTTTTGAGAGAATATGGTAAACTGCACAGGCTGACCTCAACTAGCAATACTCCTGTCTCAGCCTAGGTGAGGTTGCAAGAATGCACCAGCAAAGGCAGAATGTTTCAACTACTACAGTACTGATTCAAAATCTGTTGTTCTGTGGTGCATGAGTCCTCTGTCTTCCCAATACAGATTCAACATGGAAAATAATCAGAAGTTACAAAATTTAGCCTACCTATACTTTATAAAAGATGTTTTTTGCTTTTATATACCTTCAAAACTTTTATGTTGTACTGCTTTTTTAAAAATTAAAATTGCTTATAAATTCTTTCTTTAAAAGAATGTTATAGAGTAGCCGGGTGTGGTGGCACACGCCTGTAATCCCAGCACTCAGGAGGCTGAGGCAGGAGGATTGCTGTGAGTTCGAGACCAGACTGGGCTACATAGTGAGTTCCAGATCAGTCTCAACCACATAGTGAGACTCTGTCTCAAAAAACCA